TATAACAATCTGTTTGCAGTATGAAATTATATTTGTCATATAATTTCACCTAAAGTTGAACAAAATATTGATTTTTTTTTCATTATGTTACTGTTAAAGAAAAGGGTAAATTAATAATTTGAACAAAATATTGGTTTATATTAAAATTTACATTTTTTTTTTTGCCTGACTTAATATTTCTATTCAAATTTACAATTATTAATTGAAATTTATGCTGCCTACAAAAGTGCAAAGTTTAGATTTCAGTGCTTATTTAAATTTAAAGTATAAAGTTTTATATATAATATATATATATAATATATATACTATATATATATATATAAAGACTATAATCGTAAAGTTTTGGTGAATTTAGATTTCAGTTTTTTTAATAAAAATTGGAATAAATATAATATAAATAATTAATAATATGATAAAAGTTATACGAATGCTAGGATTGTAAAAGCACTATAGAGGATTTGGGATGACAAATGAACTGTCTTTGCTTAATACTATCTCAATAAAAACCGTCTAATTATTTTCTAATCAAACATAAACCGATTTTAAAAATAATTAAAGTTTTAAAAATTCTTCAACTTTTTTTTATTAAAACGTTAATAAATTCGAGCGCTAATTAAATTTTAATTAAGTATATTTAATACTAATAAATTAAATATAATACTTAGTTACTCAACATAATTGAATTACAAGTTTGAATCGAAATTGAAATAACTCATTAAGTTTTATTTAAATTGCTTCATAAATTTTTTAATATTCTCATCTTATTAAAATTCAAATAATATGCATAGTTTAAAAGATGTAAAAATTAAAAATAATTTTATTAAATTCTTACTGAATTATTTATTAAAAATAAAAGAACATATAAACGAAATAATGTTCAAATTATATTTTTAATTTTTATCAAAATTTAATCAACGGTATAATTTAATGAATCCAAGCTAATCTTATTTAAATAAATATTAAATTTTTATTTGAAATGCACGTTAACTTATAACTCTAAGAGCATTATCCATTAAAGTACTAAATATATTATTTAACAAAATTGAATAAACCAACTCTAAAAAGTAGCGGACAGACACTCTCAACTCGACCGACAACCGTCATTTTTTAGCTTTGCCTTTTCACGCTCAGTCTCAAACGCTACATTTCTATCATTATCTACAACAATAAACCCTATTTTACTACCATAATAGCTAATAAAACGCTGGCTGGCATCACTTAAGATAACCAAAGATGCGCCGCAGGCATCACATAACCGAGCAGGCGTTTGGGTTTTCGTCGCTGAAGAGCTGCGGAGCGTGCAACATCTCCGCCCTGTACCCGTACGGCCCACCGTAATATTCCATCCTGTTCGCCTCGACTACCGGCGGCGCCGCCGACGCTGTCGCCGACGCCGGCTCTTCCTTCTTCCCACCATCTCCTCCGTCTTTACCCTTCTTCTCACCGCCTCCTCCTCCGCCATTACCCTTCTTCTCACCACCGCCGCCGCCGCCGCCGCCCTTCTCCTTCTTTTCGCCACCGCCTGCACCTCCACTGGCTGCGGCAGCGGGTTTCTCCTTCTTCTCGCTTCCACCACCGCCGCCGCCGGCGCCGGTGGTCGCCGAGACAATCTCGACTCCGCGATTGAGCTTGTCCTTGAGGTACGATGGCAGCGAGTTCACGTCCATGGTCCCTTTCACCGTCACCAAATCCTTTTGAGCGTCGACGCTCACATCTTGCACCCCTGCACGTGAATGAAATTAAGGAATATTGATGGGTCTTTACATAAATATCAAACATATATTTGCAGAAGCAGAAATTTTAGAACATTTTGGGATTTTAATAAAAAAATTCAAATTTTAGAAAATAAGATAACAATTTTAGCATATATTTTTTTTAAAGTATTCATTGACTTTCTTTGAATCATAAACAGTACTATCAAAATTAAGCATTAATTAATAAAAAAAATGATATGCAAAAAGCAGCCGAATCTCCGACACATTTTCAGATTTCTGCGTAAGCTCTGAAATGATTCTGTGCTGTCTGATAATCTAAGAGTACTAATCTGACGGTCAACAAAAAAACCCTTCAAAAAAAGCATTTAATTTTTGCAAATAAATTCGCAATTAACACTAAAGAAAATTATTAATAAAGAATTTAATTAAATAGCATGGTGTGTTTACCTTTGATCTTGAAAATGGTCTTTTTAATTCTTTGAATGCAGCCATCGCAGTGAAGACGTATCCTGAGCACCACAGTAGACGCCACCGGCTAATATAGCAACAGCGACAAAAATAAATAAAAAAATTATTTTCTCGCACACGAAAATTGTTTATTTTTATACGAATAATACAACACATACATACATTCACACTATTTGTTCATAAAATATTAAAAGGATAAATATATCAAATATTTACTTTCTTAAGCTATCACATAAATAATTCTTATTTCAAAAAATATTTTTTCATCATAAATTAAAAAAACAAGGAAATAAAAAAAAAACGTTTCCAAACAGGCCGTAAATTTAATATGTATTATCATAGAAGCGCACTAAATTATTGATCTTATTTGGCTAAAAAATCTGTACAAAAACATGACGATATTTATGAATGTATAATAATATTTATATTATTTTATAATTTAATTAAATTCATGTATTAAGATTATTAATATATAAATATTTAAAAAATAAAGTATTTATAATAAGAATTTATTTTAATGTAGTCTTATTATTTAATTATTATATTTAAAAATTACTCTAATCTTTGAAAAATTTTGTAGGTTATATAATAACGATGCAGGTCAAATGAATTGACAAATTTACCCTACACAGAATATTGCCACATTGTCAACGTCGTTTTTAAAGGGTTTATTATTTGTCTTCTCCGGCGTATTTTGTTGACAGAAAAGCTGAGAAATTTTGATAAAAAATATAACTATTTACCCCATCTTTTAATGTTAATAATAAATTAATGATAATTAATATAATTTAGTTCACGACTGTTATTTATATTTATCCATTATGATTTTATTGTCTTAAGCATTTAAAGCAGGACAAAGAGAAGAAAACGTATCAAAATTGGTGGCTGACCTCCTTGGATTTCTTATCGGCGGGCTTCTGCTTGTCCTTAGAGTCTCCGGCGGCTTCGGACTTCTTCTGTCCGTCGGCCGGCTTCTTGCCGTCGGTGGCGGCAGCCTTCTTGCCGTCGCCGGATTCTTTCTTTGGTGGATTTACTGGCGACACGATTTCAACCTTCTTACGAGTCTTAGCCTCTAGATGCTCTCGAAGCTTCCAGGGATCCGCACTCCCAATAACTGTCAGTTTGTTGTTCGCCATATCCAGCGTTACGCCCTCCACTCCTAAACCAAAATTAGGAAAAATAAATAAATAAAACAACAAAAAGAATAAATCGAATGTTACAAAAAAAAAAAACACCAGCAAATTAGTTGGTTGGATGCCAGATCGTGGAAGCTTGAACACGCGGCCCTTAATTTCCTGCTTTAAAAAATCTGGGAAACTTATTTTGGCCGAGTTTTCGATTTGCGATATATTTTTTTTCACCGCAAGTCCGCAATAACAATAAATTTAGATGATATTTATTTACTTTAGATGTAATAAAAAAATAAAAGAATTATATAAATAAAACCCTAAGTAATCATCGCCGAAGAATAAAGTGTACCAGATTTGGGGAAGAAAAGACCTACGTGATGGGGAAAAGTTGTTTCGGCTTTTGGGAAAATACAACGGAGATAGATTGAAGCGAAACCATGTAATTCTTTTTTTTTTATTATTTTAAATAAGCAGAATCAAAGCATAATTCTTCAATTCCCTTTATTATGAAACTAATTCCTAAATTAAACTACAAAATTGAAGGAGTGAATAGAGCAAATAGATAAATCGAATCGGAAATTTCCCATCCGATTCATTCTCTTAAATAATTTTGAAAGAGGGTTAACAATCTACGGGAAACACGAACACCAGGATCCATAGTACGATGCTTAGATCAATGAGATAGGAAGTCACATAAGAGGGGATTTACCTTCAAATCCTTTGGCCCAGCGCTTGATCTTTGATGCGCAGCCCTCGCAATGCATGTCGACCTTAAGAACGACTTTAGGCGGCCCTTCTTCCTTCTTCTCCGCCCCTCCTCCTCCGCCACCTTCCTTCTTCTTCTCGCTACCGCCTCCATTCTTATCCTTCTGATTTTCAATCGGCTTCTTCTCCTTCTCATCTCCCTTTCCTTTATTCTGCAAAGGAGAAATCGGAAACTCGAATCAAACAAACAAAATTCAAAGATTTTGAAACCAAAATCCTCATGCGAGGATCTCTCTTACCTCTCCCATGTCTTCCCTTTCTTCTCGCTCGCTCTCTATCGATCTATGCGAATAACTGAAATATAGAAATGGTCGCCTATAAATAGGCAACAGGCAGTTGTGTGGAAAATTCTAGGGCTCTAAATTTTTCCCATAAATTTTTAATGTTATTTTTTTTTTTAATTTTTTGAGTGACTTAAAAAGAAAAAAAAAAGATGCATTATATTTATATAATATATATGAAATAAACATATAAATATAATTTTAAGATAAATTTAAATATAATAAAATATATATTATCAAATATATAATCTTATAAAAAAATTGACAAATCACAAATTTCTAAGCCAATGTAACGAAATTTTGATCATAATATTTTACCCCGCTTTTTTTTTTCAACGTGGGAATCATTTCTGATTTGAATTTGAACTTTTAGTAATCGGTTGAATTTAAATTTAAATTTAAATTACTCATTTATTTTATAAGAGAAAAATTATTGACTGATGAGAGAAGGGCTGTGAGGGAGGCTGCCAACAATGGAGATTGCGATAGGTGTGGGAGCATGATGGAGGTTGGTCCGATGTGGATAGACTAAAGGGTGGTTAATGGTTATAGGATGATGGGTTCAGGATAGGTTGCTAGCAATGAGGGGGCGGAATCGGTCTTTTATTTTAGGGTGGATAAAATTTTCATATAAATATATTAATATTTAAAAAAATAAAATGAGGACATAATTCAAAGTAAAATTTTGTATTTGGTCATCCAAATAATGCTTTGATCCTTCCAAATGTGGTTCAGGTTCCCGATTTGGACTCATTTGGGCTCGGGATGGACCGATTTTGGTGTCGTTGAGTTCATCTTTTTGAGACGTTCAGTTCGATTATAAGTTTGCTGAAATCGGAGTTCATATGATCCCGAATTTGATTTTAGAAGTTTCCAAGTTAAATATGCCTCGAGATTCATGGTTGATCAAAGCAATTTTTTGTGATGTATCAGTTTCCCTCTATTTTTGGACATCAAATCTTGTAGGGTCCAAAAATATATCTATGAATTTAAAATTATGAGAAATTAGAGTATTAATCGGAGCAAAAAATATCAAAAAAGTTTACTTCAAAACTTTTTAAATAGCTCAAAACTTATCATAGAGATTCTTTTGATCTTCAAAAGAGTCAAAATTGAGTCAAGGACATGAAAATCAGTTCCGAGGACAAAAAAAATCCAAAACGGACTTTCGGAGACATTTGCACATCGACTACCATCGGACCACCATCGGACTTCCACCCGGCAGCCGACCGTCGTCGGACTTCAGCCCAATCTTTGTCGGACCACCGCCTGGCCATTGATCGCCGCTGGCTTCAACCCGACTTTCGTCAGACCACCGCCCAGCCGCCGATCATCACCGGACTTCAACCCGGCCGCCGACCATCGCTGGAATTTAGCATGGCCGTCGATGAGCCACCACCAAGTCGTCAACCGCTGTCGGACTTCCACCCGCCCGCCGACCATTGCCAGATTTCTACCCGATGCCGGAATTATGCCCGTCGTTGAACTTCTTCCCGACGCCAAACTTACGCCCGTCGTTAGATTTCTACCTTACATCGAACTTCCTTCCATCAACACTCTTTTCAACCTCCATCACCCGCCAACTACGGTCCCTTTGTCCCCAACCAACTATGGTCCTTTCGACCAAACGAACACGTCAATAGTAATTCTTCCTATTCCCACACAAAGGCTCCAAACTGTTGCACCACCCTGAAAAATTCGCAGCGATAAAGAAATATATGGTTTAACGTCTTAGCATTATACGAAGATTCATCACACATACAAATAAAAAGAGAGGGTATGACGCTCATAAGAAACACCATAGTTTTTACATTGAAACCCCATAAAAGAGAAAAAAACTACGGGGCCTGACCCAGTTTGAATGAATCCACTAGTGTTTGCAATCACTTACAAATGAGGCCCTATTGTGGGGGGAAGGCCTTGGTTTGATGTAGCAAATATACATCATATAAAGTGTATTACTCGGTGGAAATTAGAAGAACAAACATTGATATATTCGTTTGAGGTCAGAAGGATCGTAGTTGGCGGGCGACGGAGGTTGAGAAGATCATTATCTGGCAATGGGGGTCGCAAGGACCACAGTCGACGGGCGATGAAGGTCGGAAGGACTGTAGTCAGTGGCTAATAGAGGTCGAAAAGGCCATTATATGGTGATAGAGGTAGGAAAAATTATTGTATGGCAACTAAGGTCGGAAAGACCGCAGTCGGATGTGACAAAGGTCGGAAGGACTGTAGTCGGCGAGTAATAGAGGTCGGAAGGACCATAGTATGCGGGCGATGGAGGTAAAAAAGATCATTGTTTGGCGGTGGAGATCGAAAAGGGCCATAGTTGACGAGCAACGTAGGTCGAAAGGACCGTACTCGACAAGCAATGAAGGTTAAAAAGATCATTATCTGATGACGGAGGGACCGTACTAGGTAGCCCGATGGAGGACAAACAATGGTTGGTTGCGAGAGGAGGTCCAACGATGGATGGAGGCCTGGTGGAAATCCGGCGACGAACAACGGCCGGATGAAAGTCCGGCGGCGGCTATTGGCCGGGTGGTCGCCCAATGATGATCAGGCTGAATTTTGATTGCGGACGGCGGCCGAGCGATGGTTCGACGACTGTCGCACTAAAGTACGGCGGCTGAGTGTCTGCGACAGCTGGCAACCGAGTGGTGGTTTGATAATTGTCGGGCTGAAGTTCGGCGACGATTAGTGGCAGCGTGGATATCCGGCGGTGGCCGGGTGGTGGTCCGACGATGGTCAAGCTGAAGTCCAGCAGCGGTCATCGATCGGGAGGAAGTCCAGTGGCGATTGGCGGTCGGCGGCCGGGCGGGGATCCGACGATGGACTGGCTTAAGTCAGGCGGCGGTCGGCGGCCGGGTGGAGGTTCGATGTTGGTTGGGCTAAAGTCTGGCAGCAGTTGGCAACTGGGTGGAAGTCCGATCTGTGGTCGGTGGCCGAGTGGTGGTTCGACGATAGTTGGGCTAAATTCTAGGAGCGATCAACATCGGTGGCCGAGCGGTGGTGCTGGAGCTCTTAAAGCCTTAGAGCTCTATACAATCTCTAGCCCAAAGGTCCCCCTCAGGTAGAGAGCAGGGGTCTATTTATAAATTTTTATGAGTGGCACACTCCGTAAAATATAGAGAAGATTCGGGGCAGGTTCAGAGTGTTTAATCGGATGGCTCATATTGATTCCCTAGATTATAGAGAGTTTTTCAATTGTTTCAGTGCCTTAATGATGCCGGAATTTAGCGATCTTGGGCTTGTTGAATTCGTGCTCGATCAAAGCAATTTTTGATGACGTATCAATGCTAAACAGGAAAATGGGATTGACAAATGCCAAACCTCAGTTTTACCGACTTTCTCAAAATTAGAACTCAGATTGCAAACGATTAGAGTCTTGAAGCTGGGCACGGATTGCAGGTCCTGGGGAAAAACTGAACAAGGTTTACTGTTACGGCTCTAATCGTTCACACTCAAAAATATTTCTAGAGTTCGTTGTGGGGGTATTTTTTGCTCTTTTGTTTCAAATTAGAGGTACTTAACGGAGAAGGCAAGTAAGCCGAGCCAAACGAGGCCTTAGAAACTGATTGATTTTAATTTATTTTCGAGTGCAAGGAAAATAAGATATTTCTGATGCCGCAAAGTTTTATTTTACTTTATGTCGAGCATGAAAAAGTTAACGGACTGTTTGTGGTTATTTTTTTATTTTAATTTTTAAAAATGTGTATAATTTATGTTTTTAATTATGATTTTTTTAACTGATTTTTTTTTAAAATACTCAAAATATTTTTTATTTTTTTATAATTTTAAATTAAAATTAACTTGAGCACTCTTTATAATTTTTTAATTAAAACTATCAAAAAATTAAAAATTTTGTATAAAAAACTATTTTAAGAAAGAATAAAAAACTGTCTCAAATTGGGCGAATTATTGTGTCCGGTCACCGGATGTCCGGACATCCAATCCGTTGACGCCACATCACTTAAATACACTGGTTCCCGGTGTATTTTGATGACATGACGACACTGGAATGGTGTCCGGACAGCTTTCCTTATATATATATCAAGAAAACTTAGACTTCGTTTGGGACGGCTTTCTTTATACTTTTTAAAGCATCTTTCTAAATTTTTGTACTAAAAAACTGTTTTAAGAAACATAAAGAAAGATGTCCCAAACGAAACCTTAATAGTAAGCACCGACATTATGTTATAATATAATATGTACTATCCAATACATTAAGAAGATGACATGCTTGCAACACACCTTTTACATGTAGTAGATACATAATTGGCATCTTCATTAAAAAAAAAAAAAAATCATCCATGCTAGTGTGATATATCCAACATGCATGTCACAAAAAAAAAATATTTTTTTTTATTTTTACATTGTTATTATTTATTTTAATAACATTTATTCTTTTGTTCATCTCCATATAGTTTTGATTTTTATATGAAAATAAAATTTGTTAGGGTATTATAATAAAAAATTTACTATCATAACTTTAAACTATTAGAATTTGCTTTACAAAAAATATGATATATCTACTATGACTATTATAAGAAATCAACTATAGAATATAATAAAAGATGAATAGATGAATGATATTTTAATTATTTATGTCAAGAAAAAAAATTGATTATATTGATAATGAAGAAATCATCGATTGTTTAATAATATTAAAAGAAGTCATTATAAATTGTAAGTTTTTTTCATGTCTTTTTTGTTATCTTCTTAAAATAACATAATTAAATGATTTTTTTTCTTAACTACTAATGTCAACCTTAAGCTCAAATGAAATAAATTGAGAAAATATTTGAAAAATCTAATTTTCTCTTACAAGAAAAAACTTTTTGGCTCTGCTACTACTTGCTAGACAACACTCCATGGGCCAAAGGCCATGGCAAGCTTTCTATAAGCTATAGGCTTAGTTTGGGATGACTTTCTTACTACTTATTAAAGCAATTTTTTAGTAAGAAAGCCGTCTCAAACTAAGCCTCAATAAATATTTTAGGCTTGCCCAAATTCCTTTCAAATTATTTTGGATTTTTTTTTTCAATTAAAAAACCTTTTTTTAAAATTTTTAATATAAAAATTATGTT